TCGAGGAGGTAGTGATTGGTAACTTAGGGGTGGATTTGGGTAGGAGGGGGGAGGCTAAGAACACTTCAGATGTTGCTGAGACCAAAATTTCCTGCGGAACACCGGGAGTAAGATACTCTCACATCGTTCACGTTACAAAAATTTTCTCTCAGCTGAAAGGTGGTTTGATTGGGACTGGACCTACCAAGAAATTCAAGGTCTACAAGAGAAGGAGCAGAAGTCTTTCAAAGATGACAACCGGAGATGCTGCTGGTAAGGATCTCTGGGTTGGTTCTAACCAGGACCGGCAATTGGGGACTCAACAGTGGGGGGAACCAATAGGGAACAATTCTGCTTCCACTGTAAGAGATTGCGATAAAATCTTTGAGAGGAAGGTGGCGAATTCAGAAAGTATCTCCATTGAGGAAGTGGCTAAAAAAGATGTAGAGGTTGGCAAAAGCTTGGGTCTGTTTTTCTGGGGTGGAGAGGAATTTGCTAGGAAAGCCTTTGAAGAGTTTGAGAGGAAGAAGAGAGAAGAAACCCAGAAGGAGAAGAAAAACAGAGGTGGGAGATGGAATGAAGATGGCAACAGTCAGGAGGAGGTTTTTGAAGGGGAAGATTAGGGCCTTGGTTCCGATAGGGTTGCTGATGACCGTGTTGAAGTCTTCTTTTTATTTTTAAGTCTTGTAATTGGTGGAGTTTCTGAGTCAGTAGTCATGTTTTCTCTCGGGTGATATCTTATCACCTTATGTAATCTTCTTTTTATTTTAATGAAATTTTTATTTTAGTTTACAAAAAAAAAATCTTTATTGGAGCTAGCCCAATACTGCTCCCACAGAATTCCAGAATGACCCTAGAGAACTCAATACTCAGACTAGGTCATCACCTAAGAGGTATTCACCCCACATCAGCATCCATCTCCCCACTCTCTCATGGGCCAGAGAATGAACAAGTGATTTTGCTAGCTTTGACTTTCCTTTGTTTCAAAACACATTGTAATGCTTTTTCAGTTTGAGTGGAAAAGGAACACCTGTCTCTGATCGTAGGGGGACATTGATGCAAATTCAGCCTTCAGTTTTCCTTTCAGAGAAGGAACAACAGGAAAACAATTTCAGTGTTGCGGGTCCCGAGTCTGATAAGAAATGTCTGCAGCAAAATAATGATGAAAAGAATGGGGATTTAGGTGAAGTGAATATCCAAAAAATAGTGGAAAGAGAGGTTACTATTGGTAAAATCTTGGGTTTGTGCTTTTGGGGAGGGAAGGAGTTTGTCAAAAGGGCTGCTGAGGAATTTGAAAGAAAAAATAAGAGAAGTTGAAGAAAGACTGTTGGAAAGGAGCTAAGTCATGGGATGAGGAACTTTCAGACCAGGAAGATTCATTCATAGATGAAGACTGAAGTCTTGGTTTGGCAGCGAGGAGGGGTTTTGATTCGGGTTTGTTGTTGGGTTAAGGGCCTCTGTATTCTTGGGTGTCTTTCCTTGGGGGGTTTTGCTTTGATCTTCGATTGGAATGGGTGGGGTAACCTCATGTTTGTAAAGTGTGAGGTTAGCTGTTAGTGGGTCTGTTTAAGGGTCTTGAGGCTGTTATCCTTCTTCTGGTGATGTCTTATCACTTTTCTGATGTATTTCTTTTCTTTTTAATAATTTTTTTTCTTGATCCTTCAAAAAACAAAACAAATAAAATTTTATTAAACTAATTAAGAAAAAGGTTACAACAAGTTGTTACATCTGAACTCCCTTTACATCAAAAGAACCCCATCATCCCATTACAATTGAGCCCAATACAAGTGATTTATATGTACTCCTTGCTTAGCTAATCCATTAGCGGGTCGTCTTACCCATCTAACTTGAATATTCAGAGCTCTTGACAGCATCTTGAACCACCTGATATCATTCTTGTGTTGCCAAATCACCCCCTCTCCTTTCTTCAGCCACCTGATTAATATTTTTGAATCCCCTTCCACAATCAACTTTGTGATTCCCATTTCCCATTTCCTTGACCGTTAACTCGGCCCTAACTGAATCACCTTGTCCAATTGGCCCTGAAAGCAATCCACATATGTTCCCCCCTCATCCCAAATCACTCCTCCAATTGTAGAGGGTCCCAGATTTCCCAAACAACTTCCATCAAAGTTTAATTTCATCCATCCTTCATCTGGGGGTGACCAAACCTCATGGATTTTTTGCTTCCTAGAAGATGAGTCAGCAATTGAACCCCAACTTCTGAAGAAGTATTCTACAGTAAATTCGGAAAAAATCTTCAAGGTCTTCACCTAGTGTGCTACCCTTAGGGTAACAATCTCAACAATTGTCTCCTTATTTCTCTTTCTCCCAAAAGATTGTTGAGTTCCTCTCCTCCCAAATATCCAAATTACTGTTTCCCTTGTGCATCTCCACAATATTCTGCCTCTTCTTAGTGCTCCTCAAGAAATATGGGCTAAAGAGTGTATCCAAACTAATTGGAGGGATCCACCTACAACCAAAAAGAGAGATAAACCATTACCAAATATTAGCAAACAAAGGGGCAGGAGGCTAAGAGGTGGTAAGCATTCTCTCCATTCGACTTACACAAGAAGCATCCATTGGGTCTTTTCTTTTGCAACAAGTTGCACATATTGATGCAACCACGGTAAACTTCCCAACAAAAACGCATTGATTTTTGGGGGGATAGGGACACTCCAAACTTCTTTCATAGGAAATGAAGAAGAGGCCACCAGTCCACAAGAGAGGAAAAGAAGGATCTACAAGTAAACAAGCCAAAAATATTGAGAGACCAAACCTGACTATCACTCATAGATTCATCAAAGACTAAGTTATCCGAAATATTTACCAAGCAAGAGACTGAAGACATCTCAGACTCTCTAAGATTCCTCACCAACCCCAAGTTCTAGCTTAACCCAATAGAGGAGAGAGATCCAATGAAGTCAGACACAAGTTTTTCTTTAAAGCTTGAAAGAGCCAACAAAGATGGATACACAACATTCAGAGGAAGCTCCCCAACCCAAACATCTTCCCAAAATCTAATTTTGTTACTAGAAGCCAAATCATACCTGACATGCTCAAGAAAATGGGGGAGAATACAATGCACTGCTTTCCACGGTGCAGCAAGATTAGCTCTGTGCAGAATACTAGCATCCCAACCATTCCTTGACAGCCCATGAATACTTGAGACAACTTTATGCCACAACCTTTCATTCTCCAAGGGGAAACACCACAATCACTTACCTAATAGAGCCAAAATTTTCAAGCTGATATTTCCTAAACCCAAACTGCCCTCCTCCTTCCTTTTGACCACCTTCTCCCATCTCACCAAATGCTCCTTTTTCCTATCTCCTGGTTCCCAAAGAAAATCCCTCATCAGTTTCTCCACTCTTTTCACAACTGCTTGAGGCATCCTGAAGATAAACATAAAATAAACAGGGAGGTTAGCCAGTGTGGATCTTATCAAAGTGAAAATAAAATTCTTACAATACAGTTCATTAACTAATCATATAAACTTGACCCTAATCAATGTTCTATTGTGGTCTTTGAAACCTGTGAAGTTTTATGGGACTTTAAGAGAAAATCCTAACTTATTAAAGATAAAATGAAGCTTTGCTTTTTTTTTTTTCTTTATAAAATATTTTTATCTCCAATTTTCCTACATCATGAATCTCTTAAATTATTTTCTTGCTATGGAAAAGGGACCTATATATTTCATTTCTGGCATGACATCCACCTATAGTCAACTCACAACTCATAGGTTTATCCTAGGCATTGGATTCCCAGCAGAATCTCTTGTTAAATATGCATGTATTATACACCGTGAGTGATAATATATAAGTAGAGATTTGTGTTCAGTGTTGTATGAATTGTTGAGCTTTTGCAAAGGTGACTTCTTAATAACTTGTGAAGAATGAATATATGAGTAACTGAAAAACTTTATTAACCGTGGTTGGAAGAATGAGTATATGTACAATGGAACTGCCTAGCAGTCCACAATTTCAAGTTAGCAAAGCTATATAGTACATTTTCTTGCAGCTGCCCCTAGAAGTAGTTCATCCCACTCTTGGCCAAGGCATCAGCTATTCTGTTGGCTGATCTAGGTACCCAGGCTGCACTTATGATCAATCCCCTTGCTAGGCTTCTCAATTCCTGTGCAACATATCTAAACTACCATTCAGCTTCCACATGGCAATCTTGGAGTCACCTTTCACCAAATTTGTGTAGTTAACTGCTTTTCCAAGCCTTATTCCATGCAGCAAGTCTAAAACTTAAGCTCTGATGGTGTTCCCATGCCCTATTGCTCCATAGAAGTGAGTACATGGCTATAATAACCCCAATAATCTTTCAGATATTCCTATGTCATCACATTTATGTAATGTGCTTGGCAAATAAATATGACTATATGATTTTATTTGCATGCTTATAGACCTTGATGTATAGTCTTTCCTATGAGTATATCACAGAATGATGTACACTTCCTGTAGCTGCTCATGTGTTCAAATAACTAGCCTATATACATCCTTGAAATTTTCTAAGTATGTTTCCGAGGATGATGGACACTTGATGTTGCTGCTGATTTGGAAAAAGCTCCTAAGACAACCATGTTCTGTAAGCATTCTGGTAGCAGATGAGTAATGAAAAGCATAATCTTGAATATTGGTTATTTTGTATATGTGGACAAGGCCATGGATGTTAATGTTAAACAAATGATATGGTTATGAGTTGAGCAGTTTTCTTGGCCAAAAATCCTGATCTGTCATGTTTAGGAACATCTCCTTGGGTTTGTCATCACCTAACTTGATTTGGTCCTAGTAGTTCAACTTATTGCTTCTCTTGTCACCTCCAGAGATGAGAATTTGCTTGACATGGCAAGGGAAAGAATTGGGATTAATTTGTTTAAAATAAAAAAGCTATCACTGAAGGGAAGAGTTGAGTGTGGAATAATTTGTTTTCATGTTTTGTAGAACATGCGATGCCTACATCATTGGCAATCTTTTTCATGGTAACTTGACAGTCGACTGTTTTATTATTCTCAGGTGGTTTTTCTTGTAAAGGGACCAATTTATCTTGTTTGCATAAGTTGTACTGAAGAATCATATGAGGCATTAAGGGGGCAGCTAGAGCTTATTTATGGTCAGGTAGCACAGGTTCTTCTCATGTTTTCTTTTGTTGTAGTTATCATTTCTATATAGGCACCTGTAATAACTTCTTTTTTAGAGTCTGCCTATCCAAGTGATAAAAATACTTTTTGATGTTTTGGAATGGATACTCCCCAACTAAGTGCCATGTTTCAAAGAGATCAATGTTACAGTCATTTCTGTTGATTTACACAAACAAACTGAGGTTGTGGTTATTTTATCAAAGAAAAGGAAAAGGATATTGTTTTTGGATTAAACGACAAAGCATACCAAAATGACTTCTGTACTAAAATATTAAATCCTTATTGAAAGTGTTATTTTTTAAATTTATGAGTAGTATTTGATTATATACAAAAAAGTTGCAAAAAATTTTGATTGTAGTTGATAACTTCAATCCTAGAAATACTCAAATATGATATTGTTTTTTAGATTTTTCTATAATTTGGATCCTTAAAGACATGGTTAAATACTTAAAAATTATTTCATTAGCTAATTTGTATAATTTCCGGTCCTAATAAATGTAGTGAATCAGAAATCATGACTAAAATTGGAGATATTAAAACTAATTACTGACTAGAATTGAATCATTTATGATCATTGTGAAATGTCTTTGAAATTTAAAACCATATGGGGAACAGTTTATCATTTTTACTTGCTGATTTTGGTTATAATGTTATGGGTGCAGATGATACTTATTTTAACAAAGTCAGTAAACAGATGCTTTGAGAAGAACCCAAAGTATGATATGACACCTTTGCTTGGAGGGACAGATGTTGTCTTCTCGTCCCTGATTCATGCCTTCAGTTGGTTTGTTCTTTTCTCCTTCACTGAATATTTATTATTGAGCTAAGTTACCTAGATGCATCTAGGCACAATGTTGGATTTTTGTTTCCAGTACTGATTAAACAAAGAAATTGGGTTTACCCCTTGGAGCCAACCCAAAGGAGTCAAGCTTCTGGAACCCCATCGTGGAAAGGTTTACTAAGAGACTTGCTTCTTGGAAAAAAAGGGGTACTTATCACTAGGGGGAAGGATTTCACTGATTAAGTCGACCTTAGCAAACCTTCCAGTTTACTTCATGTCAGTCTTCAAGCTCCCAGAAGGTGTTGGTCAAAGGCTAGAAAAATTGATGAGAGATTTTTTATGGGAGTCAGGGGAAGAAAAAAGGGACCATAGGGTCAATTGGGAAGTAGTTAAAAGAAAAGCCTTAGGGGGCTTAGGGCTAGGGAATGTACTGAGAAGGAACTTAACTTTGTTGGTTAAGTGGCTGTGGAGGATGCCTCTAGAGAGGAATAAATTGTGGTGAAAAGTGATTATCAGCATTTGACGGGCTCTTGGACAATGGGTGGGATGCTGGAGTGTCGGCTAGGGAAACTCGAGCATCTCCTTGGGCAGCTATCAATGCAGTGTTACCTTCTTTCCTCCCCTATTTCACGTATGACCTTTGTTCTGGAGATCGTATAAAATTTTGGGAACATGTTTGGGTTGGAAATTCCCCTCGCTATTTGCTTGGTCTTCTAAGCATAATCTTCCTATCTCCAACTTCTTGGCTCTTTTGAACTCTAATAATGGCTTCAGTTGGGATTTGGGTTTTAGAAGGGGACTAAGGGATTCTGACATGCCTAATATGCTTAATTTACTTCACACCCTGGATGAAGTATTCCTGGACCCTCTTAAGGAATAATCAGTTTCCTTGAAGAATTGGAATTAATTAGGCTATCCCTATTCCCTTAGGCTGTGTTTGGTTTGAAGGAAAAGGTAGGGAAACATATACAAAGTTTGCTTTACACAAGTGACAAAGTCATCTATTAGTTTATCTATAAAAAAAGTTGTCTGTTAGTTAAAATCATTATACTTGCTGTAGCCATCATTATGTCTGTTCTTTACTTCCAATTCTAGAGCCATAAACTTTGTTGATTCAGTATTTATTTGGAAGATATTGTGCATCCAGATCCCAGTTGAGTTGACAGTGAAAGTTTGTAAGCTTGATGCTCAACAATTGAATAGTACTGACTATACTTTTGCTCCATTTGACTTTGTTTTCCAGGAACCCTGCTACATTGCTTCATGCATACACTTGCCTCCCTCTTGCTTACCCAACAAGGCAAGCTGCAGGTGCCATATTGCAAGATGTTGCTGATTCAGGTGTCTTGTTTGCAATATTGATGTGCAGGCACAAGGTCTGTCATTATATTTCACTGTGTAAAATATCAATCCAATCTATGACAGATAATTTTGCATCAGTTTTTTTTAAGGTCCAAGAAGTGTGATTATTCAAATTCAAATGTGATCCCATTGAATGTGATTCGGATTTGATCCATTTATAGCTGGATCAAATATGGATCCACTCCTATCCGATCCTATATAATCTGATTTGGTTCAGTTTAAATATACATGCTAACATGTACTTAAAGTTTATATTGGCTCTATTAGTGAAGTGGATTTGAATGTTGTATTTTTACTTAACTTTCATAGGTTCAAGTTTCGTATAAGTAATTTTCAATTAATTTTGTTCATAAAATATGATATCAAAGTCATTTTCAGTTCACTTTATTAGTACTATATGATATTTTGATCATTTTAGTTCAATTTATTTATATTATCCAATATCTGATTGCAATCTTTCTCTTGCTTTAAAATAAAATCCAACTGCCAGCCAATTTCAATTCGGAATCCAACACAAATCTGATAGATAAGATCCAATTTGAATTCGAATATAAATGTCATATTTGGATCTGCCTATATCAGATCTGATTCAATCCGTTTGCAGCCCTATTGCATTTCAGCATGTAAAATATATATTTAATATAGACTCTAAAATTATTTGAGTTCCCCAGTTGACCTGTCACCTGTGTCAAACTCTTAGCATTCTTAATTTAGCACATGGTTAGTACAGGCCAAGTGAATTAGTCATCACCTTAAGAATGTTATATGCAATAGTTGTTATGGTATCTGTAAAAATAATTTCTATATGTAAGCCTGTCAAAGCTAAGATCCTCCACCTTTTCCAGAATATTATCTTATTTGCATCTCTTGCATTTAATTATCTTATAGTGAAGAATGACTCCGAAGTTGTTGCTGGTACCCATCCACTCTTACCTTGAGGGGAACAAACCTGTACTGCTTTAAAAAACTATTAGACATTCTTTTCCTTTCATAATAATGCTTTTTTATGTAAAATTTCTTGTTTGTTGATAATATCTTGAATTCGTTGATTTTTTTTTTTAAGAATTCTATGATCAATTTTGTCCCAGCATTTTTCTCAGTGATAATGGTTTTCTAATTTTTAGGTACGTTTGCTATTTAGAGCATGATGCGATTAAATTCTATGATTGCAGGTTGTCAGTCTTGTTGGTGCACAAAAGGCATCCCTTCATCCTGATGATATGCTGCTACTTTCCAATTTTGTCCTGTCTTCTGAATCCTTTAGGTACATATATTTACATTTACTTTGAGAACTCTTTGGTCATCTTGCATTGCTTATGCTAGTGTGATAGGTTTTAAGAAGAGTGACACTATAATAAGTAATCCACCTTGTCATTTTCACATCTAAGTGGTGACCTTTTGAACCAGGTGGATTTCATATTTACAAACCTTAAGAAGAGTAATATCATTCCTCATCCAACAGATGGAGATCTTATCAACTACTAAAAACATATTATGATAGGTCCCCATGTTGTTTGTTGTTATGGGCCCGCGAATAGGATCTCGTCACAGGTCGGTCCACAGGCAAAACCTCCTGTTTTCCCTTGTTCCTCCCTTCTCTTGATGAACCTATCTTGGCGCCTTAATGGTGATTTGTCCAAGAGATCACCTAACTCTCCTTAAATAGGAGATTACAAGAGATAAGAGTCCTACTTTTAGGAAGACTCCCTACTAATCTATCCTACTGAACTGATAAGATAAGATAAGACAAGACTCCCTTAATCTATCCTACTGAACTGATAAGATGAGATAAGACTCCCTACTAATTCATACTACTGATCTGATAAGATAAGAACATTGAATAGATAAGACTCCTAGAAATCCCTACTACTGAAAGCAGATAAGGCAAGAATACTGAATAGATAAGATAGGATGAGAACACTAAATTGCTGCTGCTGAGAACACTAAATTACTGTTGTTGCTACACTAAATTACTGTTGCTGCTGCCAGCGTCCACATCATTACTCCCCTTTTGGACTACGAGCTTGTCCTCAAGCTCGAATTCAGGATGGGTGTCTTGAAACATAGTCAAAGGAATCCCGGATAGGTGGAATGATTTTGCCCTCCTGGATCGGGTTCCAATGAAGAGGGTTCATCCTCACACAGCTGCAGTGAGATACCAAGATTTGACCATGTGTAGCTGCATTCTTTGCCGCAGGCAACTGCAACCTTAAGGTACTTCTGAGATGTCTTGAACTGTAGAGTACAAAGATTGTGAACGCCAGGCTAGTGCCACTGAACTGCATCATCTGGATCCTCTTCTATTGCCTGTTTTAGTGTGTACAGAGCTCGCTCTTCCACTTCCGTCAAATCATTATGTCCAGTTTCAAACGTTGCTGCATTTTCATGCTGAGCCTTGTGAACCATGGCAAGCCCTGCCCATGCTATCCGAAGCTCAATTGTTGTAGAGTCCCCTTCTCTGAGTATTGAAGCCATTTCATTCGCAGCCCATGAAAGTTGTTCAGTGGGATCTTGAGACCTTTCTGCATCCTTGATACGATGAAGCACAACAACACATCAAGTTGACATGCAATTAGGCTCTAGCTTTGCTGCCTTCTCCAGGCACTTTCCAACACTTCTATGATCACTGGCCAAATAGTATGCATTAGCAAGATTCACCCAGATATGTGCAGCCCTAGGATCTGATCTGACTGCAGCTAACAAACACTCTTTTGCAACATTTGCAGCCGCAACATGAGGCATACAAGCTCCTTCACCAGCGATGACGACCTTGGAGTAGTTGCTCTTATTCTTCTTTGAACTCTCGTCGATGGAATCCTCGACGACACCGGATTCCTGCTTAATCGGAACATTCTGGGTGTTGCTAACCTGCTCTAGGGCAACGACCTGCTGCTTGCCAGATGATTCTGCCATGTCTAGCCGGCGGCTGGTTGTGGTTGCAGCTCCTTCCGGGTTCCTTTCCTTGCTGGAAAAGTACAACTCCATCAAGCGCCTTAATTCTCGGACGTCGTCCTTGATCTCGTGCACCCCCTTGCTGTTTTCCACGAGTTTGTGCTCCAAATCATGAACCCTAGACGTCAATTGCTCAAAGTCACCCATGACGCCTCGCTCTGGTACCAAATGTTATGGGACCGCGAATAGGATCTCGTCACGGGTTGGTCCACGGGGAAAACCTCCTGTTTTCCCTTGTTCCTCCTTGCTCTTGATGAACCTATCTTGGCGCCTTAATGGTGATTTGTCCAAGAGATCACGTAACTCTCCTTGCTCTCTTTCTTGACTGAAATTTTCAATGATCTTATTCAATATTCTCAGCTCCTTAAATAGGAGATTACAAGAGATAAGAGTCCTACTTTTAGGAAGACTTCTTGCTAATTAGGAAGACTCCCTACTAATCTATCCTACTGAAYTGATAARATAAGATAAGATAAGACTCCCTTAATCTATCCTACTGAACTGATAAGATAAGACTCCCTTAATCTATCCTACTTAACTGATAAGATAAGATAAGACTCCCTACTAATCCATACTACTGATCTGATAAGATAAGAACACTGAATAGATAAGACTCCTAGAAATCCCTACTACAGAAAGTAGATAAGGCAAGAATACTGAATAGATAAGATAGGCTGAGAACACTAAATTGCTGCTGCTGAGAACACTAAATTACTGCTGCTGCTGCCAGCGTCCACATCATTTGTGCAACTTATGAACCAAGTTCAACAGGAATCTACTCTTAGATAAGATGTTAAATTGCAACAATAAAGTGGCTCAATGGCCGAAGAAGATAGGTAACATCATGTGGAAGAGTGCTAGGGCGGCAATAATCTGGGTAGTGTGGGAAGAAAGAAATGCAAGAATTTTTAGAGAAAAGGAGACAACAAAAGAGGCCTTGATTGAATCAATACTGATTAGAGTGGCTCAATGGCTGAAATCCTTAGGAAACTTCTCACATATATCCATTGATGATATCATTAGAAACTGGAAGATAGTGGCAGACTCAAATGTCAATAAGCAGCCTGTTATTCCTATCTGGACCCCTCCTGAAAGAGGATTTATAAAGCTTAACTTTGACGGCAGTAGCATGGGAAACCCAGGAAGGTCAGGAATTGGTGTATTCAGGGATGAGGAGGGTAAATTGTGTGCATTATTCTCAGGCCCAGCTGGTGAAGGAGACTCACTAAGAGCGGAAGTAATGGCAGTTATGGAAGGGGTGCAAAGGGCTAGAACCATGAATGCTAGAAAGCTAATCATTGAAGGGGATTCTAAACTGGTAGTGGCTTGGCTACTGGATGAGGAAAGTAGGATGTGGAAATACAATAATGAGAAGAAAAAACTCAGATGGATCACAAAGGACATGGAACTGAGAATACAGTGGGTGAAAAGAACAGCTAGTTCAATGGCTGATGCGCTAGCCAAGCAAGGGGTTGGGAGAATTCAAACATTTTGGGCACAAATGTAATTGTAATTGTAATTATAACTAAAGTTAATTGGGAGAATTCAAACTTTCTCTTGTACACTTTCCTTTAAATTCAATGAAGTAATCAGTTATTCATCAAAAAAAAGAAAAAACAATAAAGTTCTATACAAGGATGAGTCTCATTAAAGGGGGGAATTATTAAGTAACCAAACACACCAATGTGATCATATTTACCTTTCAATTGTTGTGCACTTCGTCCTAGAGTCTCTTTTGGTACAGATGTACATTTGCCCATATAATCCTGTAATCCTGTTCTTATATCGAAGACAGAATTTCCATTCTATAGCTAAATGATAAGCATCTAGGATGATGGTTTTGATAATGCATATTTGGTCCTTAAGATTTTATCATACCGGAACTTTTTCTTTGCTTTTTTAATAAGGTGTTGACAAGACGCAATCTCCAATAGATGCTAAGGAATTGCAATGAGAAACTACTTCAGCAGGGAAATATAATCTGACTCATTGGTTAAAGTGTTTCTACTTGGACAGAAGCGTATGTAACTAACTGTATGCTTTGAAATCTTTGAGAATAAGAGACCTATGTAGCAACATCTGATAGACAGCGCATAATTAGAGGTAGTACATTGGGTAAAATCCTTGGATAGCTTCCAAATTTTCTCAGTCACTGATATATTAAGAGCTTGGACCAAAGTAGCAGCCATTGAGAGCAAGACAGTAAGAGTGGATTGGAAACTCCCAGAAGGCAACAAAGTCAAATTAAATTTTGATGGGAGCTCCAGCTCCCTTGGTAACCCGGATTTGGCAGGAATAGGACTAATCAGAAATTCTGAAAGGACGATTTTGGCATTGTTTTCAGGGCTGATTGGTATGGGAAATTCTTTGAATGCTGAACTTTCTCTGCTACAAGGTCTCTGGTTAGCAAAGCAGCTGGGATTCAGGCAGATAGAGGTGGAAGGGGACTCAAAAGTAGTCATTTCATGGGCAAGTTACAACAGGCATACTCCTTGGACTCTAAAACATGGGTTGGAAGGAGTGCAAATGGGTTAACTGATTCCCTTGCCAAACAAGGGGCTATGAGGCAGCAAATATTTTGGGCTTCTATGTAACTTGGGGTTGAAATTTGTGAATGACACTCCTGTCACCAAGTTGTACCAACTTGTTTTAATTAAATATAGTGAAATATATTTTCTGCTGATAAAAAAGAGATCTTTGAAGCAACATGGTTGAATTTATCTTTCAGTTTTGACCATGGTAAAGACCTAGTAGTTGTTGATACTATGTTTTATAGCATTTTATGTGGAAAACTGGTGCATCATTAAATAATGAGATTAGTGATGTATTCTTTATCCTTCTGTAGGGAAGTGACTTTTATTCAGTGAGAGCTTGTACTTTTTTATTATCCTATTATCTTATGATGTATTCTATTTGCTTTTCGCAGAACGTCTGAGTCATTCTCTCCAATCTGTTTACCAAGATATAATCCCATGGCATTTCTTTATGCATATGTCCATTATTTTGATGTAAGTGAGATTTTTCTTTTGGTTACTTAATGGGGTTTTGTTTTGGGCACTTGAAGGATCTTCTGCACTGATCTTTTTCTTTTATCAATAACAATATCAATAAAATTCATTTATCTGAAGGATTAGAAAAAAGTACAAGGAGAAAAAAAAGAAATAACAGCCTTGCTTGGGTCTCTTCAATTTCTGGTTTTTCTCCTTTTTTTTGAAATAACAGCCTTACTTAATTCAAATGAAATTTACGCTTTTTATCTTGTAATTAGGTATACACAATATATAAATAATCATTTGTCTGGTCATTGATCTCAGATGCCATATTAAGATTTTTCCTGTTTACATGGCAGGTAGATACATACTTGATGTTGCTTACAACTAGTTCTGATGCTTTCTATCATCTAAAAGACTGCAGGTAAACTATGTAGTGTTATAGGCACAATTCTGCTGGACAGTTGATACTTGATTGGGCGTATGTCAAATATAAATTCAGATATCCACTCTCCAGCACTTCAATGCAGGATTCATGTTACTGTGCAATATATTCTGTGTTGGTGCCCTTTGGAAATTTGAACCAATGTTCTATTTTGGCATCCCTTGGATGGATTACAATCCAATGTTCATACATGGGGAAAACTCCGTATGATTCTGAGATTTTTGAATGACTAACTGTTCAAATTCATTGAGGTTTTTAGGATTTGAGATCCTAAAATAGAACCCAGCAAATATTCCACCACCTTAGTCCAGAAGAAGTTTTTCATGGCATGGCATATTCATGGTTGGAAAGCAATCCAAGTTGTCAAAACACCAAATAAGGCTGTGAGACCAGGGAGCATCTTGTTTCCTTGCAATTAGGTGCCCCACTCAGGTGTTGCCTGGATTTCATTTTTTAATATAATGATCTGGGTAGCAACTTGCTTCCCCGTTTCCCTAGTTTGTGTAGCAACTACAAAGCATTAAAAATGTTCCAACATGAAAGTATAGAACCTTAAAGGAATAATCAAAACATCATTACATAAAAAGGCCATTACCAATTGTTGGTCCCAGCTACTAGGGTCTTGGGAGGGGTGGACTGGCTATGGTCCTAACCTTTGGCTTTTTTTTTTTTTTTTTTTTTCGCATAAAGTAGCTGTTCATAGACTCTAGCCTGCATTCTCATGCTTGACAGACCAAGATTTTACCATTGCACCAAGTAATAGCCCCTAATCAAAACATCATTACATAGCCTATAAAAATTGATATACATGTATGTGTATATGTATGCATGTATGCATATATGTATGGTTTAATAAAAAAATATGCATATATACATATATATATATAATCAGACTGGGCCTAAGCCAATCATGAGGACTGAAAATCCAAGCCCAATCCATGTAAATCTATGGGCTGGATCAGTGCAGGCTCGGGTTAGGCCCGGCGTTGCACCCCTAGGTAGAGATATAGAGGAGAAGTGAAAAGGGAAAAATTAGGGGTGAGCATTTCTATACCAACCCGGAAATTTCTAGTGGGACCTAGGCCCAGCCCACATATTGCAAATATATAATACTAGCAAGCAAATCCATGCAAATGCATGGGGTTGAATAGAAATTTGGATAGTTTGGGTTGGGTTGGCAAATTTAGGTTTTGACATAAATTTGTTTCCAAGCCAAAGTCAATGTTCAAGGTTCGAGTTTTGGATTTGGTGACAAATGGTGTAGATGGATTTTGGGGTGTATTAAGACTTGTCATTATTAAATACTGGTCAATGGGATAGTGGTAGATCATTTTCCATCCCTCAAAGGAATTAGGCAAGGAGACCCACTTTCTCCCTTTCTCTTCACATTTTTTGATGAATGATAATAAATTTATTAATTCAGAAGCAGATTTAGAGTGAGTTCATACAACATCCCAAGGAGAGGCGCAAGCTGCAGCCCCTCCTTGAATCTTACAGGTAAACTAGGAAAGAAAAGCAGGAATCACAACTGAGCCCAAAACAATTCTTCCCTATTTACCCCTTGCTTAGCTAACACATCTGACAAAGTATTTGCTGATCTCCCCACCCACTGTA